TAAACATTTGTCAGTGGAAATTTTGAGGAAATATCAAATTGATTTTGGTCTACTCATGAATAGAATTGCTGTTAACAGATGATGACATCAATACATTTATAACATATCAATGTCACAGTCTTTAACGACATGTAACAAGCATTTCTTGAATATTTTGGTTCGGTCAAAACGGATATTTGAGACCGCGTATAACATTGGATTAAGTAATGCTTGCATCTGTTTAGGCAAGGTTTGACAACATACTAATTCAAACATTCCAGACCGAAATCAAGACATGTTACCCATCGTACGTATATCACTTAAGTCCTGTTCAGGAGAAAACAATCGTCTTTTTGTCATTTGTCTGTGATCTACTTTTTTTGTCCAAAATTTCTGATTGTCTATTGTGCAAAAACAAAAGTTAGATTAAGTCAGTTAAATAACAGTCTGCGTTTCTCAACCCGATACATTTAGTTTGTTAAATCGTTTAATATCATCTTGTAAGATTCTTCATATCTCTTTATCAGTAACAAGTTATGGTTTACCGCTTCCATATATTTAAGTAATTTATTGCATCTCGTCAAGTTACTCCCAAATTTATGACATCAACAAAGTATGTGCTTTATCATAAGTTATCAACACACTTGGAAGGACTGTAAACTATTGTATTCATAAATCATTTGAATGGTACAATATATCTTCACTAACTTGTCGACATCAAGTGAAATAAATAAAAAGAAGTTTGCCTCTTTAAATATCAACTATGTCATTATTTGTGCTAACGATCTTAAAGAATTTATTCCCACTGTTTTGAATCTAAAACCTGAATGTTTCATATGTCAACTCAGGCGAACTAGCCTTTTAGCAATATGAAAAAGTTAATCAAACCTGTCTGTGTGTCTACTGCTTGAAAGACAACTGTCAAACAGAACCTAAAACATTTTCCATCGTGGTGTGTTGACCGGCCTTTAAGATTTCTTTTACCATTTTATTATTATTTTATTATATCTCCGTTTTAATAGCAAGTGTAAACTTAAGAAATGGTTAATTGTATACAAAAATCATGATTTTGTCATAAGAATGATTATTAAATATTTCAAGAGTGATTTTATCTTAATTATTCATTCCTTTCTGTACAGATGCTCTAGAATGATAAAATGTATCCCCTTTGTAATACTTTATAATAACTTTAACGACTTAAAGGCAAATTAAGCATTAACCTCAGATATGATCTTAAGAAATGGCAACAAGAAGTATCTTTAAAAGCTACTCGGTCTTCAAAATGCTTTAACTTGCAATGATTGTTCCGGAGTTTTTAATTATAATATAGCATTTTAATTATAAATTTAGATCTAGGAAACACTGCAAGCTATGTTTCTGTTATGGAATGTGCTCATTTTTTAGAAATATTAATAGGGAAATACTGAAGAAATGACAGAAATAACACATTATGTAAAGTTTGCTCGTACAAAAATATTGAATCAGAATATCATCTTTTATTTTGTTGTCCCTTGTATTCAGTACGAAGAAAATCATTTTTATTAAAAACATGCATCTTTCCCAACTTTAGACAAGTTCTATTACATTATGTCATGAAATAAAAGTAAAATATATAATACAATTATGTAAACTTCTCTAGATAATTAATTCGCATTAAATCTAGTGTTTTAGAAACGATGCAAGAATTGTTACTGCATTTTATGAGAACATCGTATATGTGATTCGTATGTATGTCATATTTCAAGTTATTTATAACTTTATATATGTCTTGCCAAAAGCAATGGTTTGCCGAAAAATGCAATAAAATTTTAATTGAATCGAATTGAATTGACAATGCAATCTCAATCTTAATAAATTATAAATGTTACACTTTTTTTCAATAGATTTTACCGAAATAATAATAGAAAATTATTCATGACAATGTGGACTAATTATGATGACTTATACATTTTCATTGCAACAAACAAAGTGAAATACATATCATAAATTAGTGCTTTAAGACATTTATAAACATTTATCTCTTCAAGGGGATTGTGTTTAATATACAATATAATATCTAAATTATTTCAAACGATTGGCGGTACTCTAACGAATATATAAGTGTTGCTTTGTTGGCACTTAAGGCAAATAAATATGCCATTATAGAATCCTTTTAATAACAAATCCTTTTAATAACAAGTTAAGATTGATATATCAAAGGTCAATTAATACTGTAAGTTGTAGAAAGATTAGGAAAAGGTCAGGTTACTGTTTACTAAACGGAAACAAAGAAAGAAAATTTTCTCTATAATAACTTCTAAATGTTGTTATTGTACTTGAAACGAGATCTAAGTAAAAATGAACTAGATAAGAAGCATTTTATAAATTATAAAATTGACATAATATATTTAAAATATCTCTCTGGGAAAAAAATCTCCTATTGTTCACGAAGACGTTGCTATACTTTTCTGTCTAGCTTTTTAAAAGCATTTCCTTTAAGGGATTGAATATTGCTTCGGTAAATGTCAGAACATGTCATTGACATTTTGCTGTCCTACTTTTTTAATGAACAGACTAAAATGTCTGCGATTTTCAACTTTTATCTATTTTTCTTCATCGCTCTCAAAGGACCTACTTTTATAAGAATTTATTAATAAAGCATAATAAGTTTAATTTTTAATTATATTAATGTTTTGTTTTGTATTTAAAAAAAACTGGTGATAAAAAGTTCCCACAAAATATATATTTCAGTATAAGCCCAATTAAAAAGTATTTGCATTTTCAAAGGTTTAAAGCTGCAAGAGCCAAAACATTTCTAGACAATCGAGCTTGACAAAAATGTGAAAACAAGATTTTTAGAAAAGTAAACAGATTTAAGATTCAAGTGATAATTGACATGTTATATTAATGACTGATTTTGCAGTGCTTATCACCATATTTCTACTGCATGACTTACACATTAAGGAAATTTTTGCATAATTATTTTAACCTCGTTTGTTTTGGTAATGTTCTTTGATTGTAAGTGCAATTTCCAGTGGGTGTATTACTTTTTGTGTTCACTTCACGATATCTAACTTTTAAATAAATTTTCAAAATTTTCATGAAAATAAGCGTACTGCTTTAAATACCCTTTAGCGTGATATATAATGCATTTACAATGTAGATTGCATCAATGTTACTTTGCATAAAAGATACTTCAACCTAATGTGCACATTTTTAAATTGCTAAAATAGAAAATAAAAGATCTTTTTATGCATTTGACATTTATCTACGACAAATGATTATTTTCTACATTTAAAGCTCTAATGTTGATGAAATCAGATCTTATCGTAATTGTTTAAAGCGACAAATTTGATACCTACTTATTGATTGTTTCTCAAAAATAACGTCTGATATATTGACAATTAATACACCAGCGATGATCAGGTAGTTATATATAAGATAGGTACATTTGATTCAGGTGTCATAAATGTAGATGTAGATGTTGATACTGACGTCGGCCGGGGACAAGGAAATTGTTGCAACGTTGAATAATTCTAATACTTATTAATGGTTGATGAGTTGTGGCATGTCGAATTTTGGCTACCGGGACGCCAGAAGAGATCACAAAAATACGACAAAGTGATCATATTAGCTTTAAAAATATTGGAGGTCTCGAGCGTGCGTGAAATGACTTTACATTAAATCAAATACATAATGATACCATTGGCCAAAGATGCAATGGATATTGTGTAAATGTCAGCAAAATGTTTGAAAAGTGATTTGTGATTGCATTGTAAGGGGGATTGTTCGTTAAAAGATGACATCTGATATCCATTAAAAGCGGCCTAATTGCACTTGATTCTACGTTATTTTGAAGTATCAGACAATTTATTTTTGATGAATTAGATATTCTCCTTCTGTTCAAGCAATAATGAATAATGAAGATATTATCATTCTAATCATTCTAATTTTCTTTAATGTGGATTTAATGTGTGACAGGGTCATACACACAATTGATGACGGCTAATTTATTAAGTCCTCGATCTGAATGACTTCAAAGTTTTCATTTATCGTTTAGGCATTGATTACATATTCTCTAAATATCATGTTATTATTTTGTTCTAAGGGCATTTTAGAAAGGAATTGTCAAGATAATGTTATTGGTACATTTCAATACAAAGGTGTTTAAAAGAAGTAAAGATATATATCGCTAAATCCTTTTTATTTATAATATTGATCAATAAGATCATATAAAATCAACACAAACTTGCTCAGCTCAAAGTACTGACTCCACATTCATGCTCTTAAAAGATAAATGATCATGAAGACGAAACAGTTATAACAGATATTCGTACAAAAGTACATGTCAACTTTTGAAATTTTTCATTAATCTTATATAACACTTTTGCGGATGATACTTGTCAACATTGCGACAGTTTTCACAGTAAATATTTAAATCCGCGTCATATATCAAATGATAATAATCCAGTGTTTAATATTTAATTTTTGCTGATTTAAACGGATGTCAGCAATTGCAGATGTCGTTAATTTAGTATCTCTTTAAATACAGTATGAAGAAGAGATTGGTAAAATATTGCTACTTCTGTATGTACTTTATGTCAGCTTACAAAATAACAATAAATATAAGGCAGATTGTTCAGCAGCTTTTTACAATACCGTGGTAAGTCTTGCATTTTAGCTCCGCTTAAGTTGTTGCTTAGGGCATAGACAGTGGGTTGCAATTGCATTTTGTGTCCATGAACAGGTGGCAATTAAACCGGGAATGCAACATTAATATATTTCAAATCTTGCCATTTCTCGTTTGCTCTTTTCCCTAATTGGTCACAGTAATTGATTTACCTCTAAAATGAAATTTTACTAAAATGAATCGTAATTTTCTTATTCAAACTCTGTAAGCTTTCTTAAGTTTATTTCACTCATAACTGATAACGCTCTGGCAAAAAAACAATGTCGAAAGTACTCTTAGAGTAATAAAATATTTAATGTCAATATTTCGAGTTGGGTATAAAAATCACAAAAGCAGATATTTACTCCTAATACAACTCCAGCGCAATCTAACGAAAACGTGTGACTAAAAGATTATTTCAATCTTTTGAACAGTTCAAAAAAATCAAATTAAGGATTTCAGTTATGGAGGGTTATTTTCTGTATATCGCTAACCATCTGGAGAATATTCGACTAACCGACAGTCGGTCTTCTCTTCCAAATAAGACAATACACGAATTGAAGACATGGGATCTTTGGCGCGCTGTACTGGCAGAATTTGTGGCCACAGTTTTGTTTGTATTTATTGGAACAATGTCGGCTTCATATGGTGGTTATGATTACACCAGGGTAAGTGGATCGTGGTTTTTGGACTTATGATTGATTATTTATTCAAGTTCATAACTGATATATTATTACTTCATAACTGAATTTACTTAACTGATCATTTAATAATCGAAATAATAGTAAGTCTTCATATTAAACAGAGGCTAAATTTTTAAAATTAAGTCATCAGTCTCCCTTCACAAATCAAGAAAACATTTTTAATATTTAATGTTTTCACAACGTTCGTATACAAAAAAATAAACATTTATTCAAGTCTATTAGATAAAATCTTCCATAGCTTTGTAAACATCAGTAAGTGCTTGTTAGGATGGCATTTTGCCTTTCTACAAACATATTCTGGAATTTCAAAAACAGCTGATTAATTTTGTTTTTAAAACTTAGTTGAGGTAAAGCTGTTCTAAATGATTGTGAATATATTCCATACCATATACAATTATGTATGTGTATATTTTGTTTTCTATTGTATGGAAACCAGCATTTGCAATTGCTAGGTATGAAAACCCCATTGTTTCTGTTTTGTCTAAGGCACAATAGTTATTGTGACTAACTACTAGAATAGGAATATAATACTATTAAAGAGCAATGTAAGGAAGAATTTAAATTATGACTCATCGATGAAAGATAATGCTATGAATGTGTAACTAGTTACGGCTAAAGCAAAGATTGTGTATGCTTAATATAATTTAATTTTCACAGAAGACCAAAAAATGTAAAAAAAAATATCTTTTTGGCCATTTCTTTACATTCTGACAACCAGAATACCCTAAGATCATTGACAGCAATGGAATCCTGGTTGAAAATGTTAATTTATGACCCGATTTTTATCTGAAGTCATTATTCATTGTTCAAGGTATGTCGTAAGTAATGCCCTTTATTATCAGCAAACAGCAATTCATTTTAATATTTTATCTATTCAGCTTAACATATTTAAGAACATAAATCTGCAGTAACATGTCCAGTACTTCATTCTAGTCTTGAAAAATGATGAAAACAAGCATTTACTGGTGCCTTTCAATCAATTGCAGCACAAACTTTAAGAGGTGTGCAATAACATGCGTTTAATTCATAAAAACTCATTCAGTTGCTCATGATCATCTCCATGGCTACAAAATCGTCATATTGATTTACGTTGGCGTTTGCGAATATGGAACCCGACGGCGTCCCATTGGACACGCCGATGAACCATAAATTAAAGACATATTGATAAAATATTTGCTTTATTTCCTTTTAAAATAGCAAACAAAATATAATTAATAATGTATTTTTCAGAAACTGTAATAAAAAGATAGAAGCATAAAGCGAAAATAGCTATTAAGCTCTTTCGCATTAAAATACATGTACTAAGTGATTGCTTTCTTTTGGAGTTTGTTGTTGTTGTTTTTATTTTTTTACTATTATTATTTTTATGATCGTTGCTTTAATTTGTTGCTTTCTTTTGTTATATTTCAGATTGCGTTCACATTTGGACTTATGATAGCTGTATGTATTCAAATGTTTGGTCACGTGTCCGGCGGTCACATGAATCCGGCTGTTTCATTGGCTATGGCGGTTGCAACGAAGATATCACCTTCACGCGCTATTGTTTACATAAAAGCACAGTGCGCAGGTGGAATATTAGGATCACTTCTCTTAAAATGGTAGATATGTTATCAATGCCATATATAGTATACTAGTATCTTTTTTGGTATTTACCGTCCTAATATAAAAATTAAATATATATGTGCTACATAAATCTCTAAAATAGTTCACGCACAGTTTTCAAATGTTAATCTTAAAACATTTTGACCGACTTTAAATATTTAAATATAAAGTTTATTTCCACTTTGAAATAGTAAATTATGTAAATGTAGGACAAAATCTTGATAGAAAAACGAGTTTAGATATTATAAATCAAAACAAAGTTACAAGTTTTATTTTATTGGCCTGTAATCAAACTTGAATAATTTAGACTGGTCTTGTTAATAATGATTTGAGCCGCGTCATGACAAAACCAAAATAATGGGTTTGCGACCAGCATGGATCCAGACCAGCCTGCGCATCCGCGAAGTCTGATCAGGATCCATGCTATTCGCTTACATACTCTATAACAAGTAGAGAAACTGATAGCAAACAGCATGGACCCTGATCAGACTGCGCGGATGCGCAGGCTGGTCTGGATACATGCTAGTCGCAAACCCATTATGTTGGTTTTGTCGTGACGCGGCTCATTTAGAAGCACTCACTGTATAAATATTAACATTAACCTCTTCAAGACAAACATAAATTATGATTTTGTTCTTAGCTTCAGTAAGTGAGGTGGTTTTGATCCCTGGTTTTTCTTTAAGTTTGTAACACCCGAGGTAAGCCAAAATCATCTTTCCTTCGGTGCCATATGACCTAACTTGTGTTTGTGCCCCGTAAAACCAAACAACAAACATATATATAAGGACACAGAATAAAATATGTTTAGTCTTAAGCGTACTACCACAAATGTTTTCCAATTAGCCTATCTTTAAAAAAAATATATGCCTACATAAGAACGGACGAAGGATAAATTAATAAATAGATATGCACGTATTTTTCTGAGCTTCGAAACCTAAAAATGTTAAAAGTAAATTTTAATCAATAAATCTAATTGTAGGAGTGCTTCATTCATAAGAAACATTTTTTTATTTATTTGAAATACAAAGTAAAAGTTGTGCACATATATAGCCATAGAAAGAACCATAGAAAGAGATTTTCAAATGAATGTCAAATTTAATGGTATTGCAATTGTTCTTAGAAAAACATTCAGTGCATTCAAAGCGTTTTCTTCTTTTGATACCGAAGAGGTTTTCCGTGCTATCATATAAATTGTACGGTTCAATCAAATATTGCCGCTATCTAATTATAAAAAATATATAAATCTTTACGTTTTATTGTGTTTTAAATAATGAAATATTCCATGAGGGACTGAAACATGTTTTACACTTTTTACCATATCGAAATTAAATGATACTTTGATGGAAAATGCTTATTTGCACTAAGTTGCCAATCGATCATGTCTAAATAAACTTTTATAAGGAACAGAATATTAAACATGTAACTATGTTCATCTAATCGTGCATTAAAAGAGATAAAATAACAAAATGTATTTGTTTTATTGATACATAAAATACTTAGTAAAGTTATAATTTGTACATGTTTCAGACGAATGTAACTATGTTTGTAGAATCAAAGTCTTGCAAAATACAAAATTGTTAAGATAAATCTAACCAATTGATTTCTGTGTCGTCATTAATGTGTTTCTATCAAGATTTAAAGCTGCATGCCTCCAGATGAGCCAAAACAGTTAAAAAAATAAACTTTGAAAACTGTACTAAATTTAAGAAAAGAAAACAGATTAAAGATTCAAGTGATAATTTATATCTCTTATGTGCAATTAATGACTTTTTTGCAGTATTTATTACCATTGTTCTATAGCAGTAGGGGCTACTATAGCATATTTGACCTCTATTTGCGTGGATTATATGTGCCGATTGCAATGTATCAATTACTTTCTTTGTTCATTTCACAATATTTAACTTTTAAATATTTTTTCAAAATAAATTTTTATTAAAATTAAAATGAATCTGGAGGCGTGCTGCTCTAAAAAATTAACATATGTCCGATGATTTCTATATGACGATTGGGTTTACGACTGACGAATGATACTTTTATTAATCGCCATGCTGTTAGTCAATACTTTTTCATACAAATACATGTTAAAGTTACATAAATTTGCATAAATTTAAGGGTGTTACCGTCTAGATTTCATGAAAATCTTGGTATGACGACATTGTACAGTGAACTCTCAGAAGGTCAAGGACTTGTATGTGAGATAGTTTTCACATTCATCCTAGTTATGTCCATATTTGGAACAACTGATCCGAATAGAGCACTGTTTGGGAGTCCTGCTCTTGGTATAGGCTTCACTGTCGCAGTTGTTCATCTGGCAGCAGTAAGTTTATTTTATACTCTGTAAGTACGTGAGAGATTTTTATGGTGTACAATGTCAAACGCTTCTGACAAGAAAGCAAGATTTATGAAGATAAATAATTATTGTCCGGGTACAAAGTTTTTAGGTTTGTTCGGCACATGTTTATATGTCTATTCACAAGGACAACACGATACTAAAAAGGGAAATATCTAGTTAAATAAAAACGTATGCGGTATAGAGAAAATCGAGCAACTGTTTTCATAATTATTAGCCAAAAAGCTTATTGGAAAGGATCATGTTTAATGGCTATTTGATATACATCAATCTCTGCATGTCATACAAAAAAATATATAAAAGTTAATTTATAGAATTCATTATTTGATGAGTGCAACACATGACAATGCAATTGTTAAACAGACACTTTATTGATATATTTGATCAAGAGCATACTTATGACTCGTCTATTGGACATTTCTGCAATTATTAAACATTATCTGTTATCAAAACTAATTAAAGCATATTATCATTAATTTCAGATTCCTTTCACAGGAGCGAGCATGAATCCAGCGCGTTCATTTGCGTCTTCTGCAGTTTCAACTGGTGACAACGCATTCGATAATCATTGGGTACGTCATTATGAACACATAACAGTCCTTTTGATTAGATTAAGAATATTTTATAATATCTGCGCGGCTAATTTCTTTTGGCCAGTTTGGTGTTTTTTTATTTGTGAAGATGGTTTGAGTTTTTAATTTGTAAGGCTGGTTTGTCATTTATATATTTCTAGCCTACCTGTAGATAACAAGCTTTATAAGTTTATTGATCAATCTTATTTTTTTACATTTAAATGTTACTATGCTCCTAGAAACAAATATCCTTAGACACTGTTTACATTTCATAATAAAAGTAAATTAAATAATTCATCTCCAAGAAAATTTTGGACTTGTGAAAGGCTAAAAATGGCCTAAGATCGACCTTAAGGTAACGTGCAGCCAATGCTGAAAAGCCTTTGACTCTATCTCAATCCATTGACAAGTGCCAGCCTTTGAAATCAGTTTTGATGGAAAAATCAACGCAAAATAGCGATTTGTGGCAATTTTGAGATGTCCCCTCGTGGCCATGGTAAAAATAAATTTAAGACAAGTATGCCTTTACAAAGGCTATGGTCCAGTCAACATTTGTGACAAGTTTGAAAAGTATTGAAGCCTTTTTATAGTTTCATAGCATTTTGAACATGTAACAGGAGGCTTTTCAATGAAAACAGCCATTTCCCACGAAATACTCATGCGGAAACGGGTTAAATAGAAACATTTAAACACGCTATCATTTCGATTTTTATTTTGATTTTTTTGATGAAACAGAAAAAAAATATTTCAATTTAGATGTCGCTAAAACTTTAGAGTCTTTTAACTAAAAACCTTTATTTCCTCTCGCTTATTTTAAAACTGTTTCGGCTGCATTCATTTTCGTTTTTCTAAAGTTTGATGTATTTAAAGTCGGTCCAAGCATATACACCACATTTCCTAAATCTGGATATTCAATCTATTTAAGATATATTGGGTTGGGCCAATCATCGGAGGAGTGGCAGCAGCTATTGTGTACAAGTTTCTGTTTAGTCCATACAGGGGAAAAATGACAGTTGCTGAGGCTACAACAAAAATGAGTAAGATTAAAATAAAAACAATTGATAAACTATGGTTGTTTAAAGCTTCTAAGACAATTCAAAACAGTCGCCTGAATCCACATTTTTGCAAGGAACGGTATTAAACGAACAACATAAAGTGAAAGTACTGTTTATGGTCAAAATATAATTCGTTTCACTGTCTTGTTTAATCCTATGAGTATATTAAAATAATAATGAAACAAAAATCAAGTGAGCTGACATTTAAATGACAACAGGGACATTTTATTCTTCCAAATACCAAGATTATACAAGGTCGATGATTTGACTCAGTTTTCATTGGGGCATTTGAGGTCCTCTTTGTCACATGTCTTTTGCAATACTTAAAATCCAAATCCTTTAAATCATACACGTTATAAATGTTTTTGTCATGCAGCTCACAATTGTCCGTTGTTGAAGGAAAGAGATTCAAAGAATGTCTATTATCTTTTTTTATATTTTTGTCATGTATAAAAGGTAGTCTTTCTTTAACAAAGACTGTAACTAACTGACCGAGCTTCTTTTAAATGTATAAACAATGGTGTTCAACAAATACTGTCTTAATTGCAAAAAAGTGACTTTAATATAATCACAATTATCATTCATGAAACTAAAAATATTAAAAATAAGAGGATTTTCTTTATTATCGTACTTTTGTTCAAACCGCGTCCTTTTCGATAACATTGTTGTTTGTGAAAAGTAATTTGAAATAGATTTGAAATGAAAATATTTAATTATTATGTTTAAGGTTGTCTTTAGATAAAGGTGCTTTTTCATATGTCATATGTACTTATTTATTTGTTGTCATATTTACACTTGATAGACAAGTCTTGACACCAGAATATAGAAAGGCCACATCAACATTAGGCAAATAACTGTTATCTTGACTTATTTTTCAGTGGAGTCGAATGACATGATTGTTATTCCAAGGTCGTATTTTAAAGATCATCCAAGTTCTGGAAATGAAGAGAAAATGTACCAGTCACTTCAATTGTAAACAAGATATATCGAAAATTGTGTTATGACTTCAAGATAAATAATTGCATCAGATAATGATGACCAAAGTTTTAACCAAAGAAAAATATTATTTCTCCTGTTAGATGCAATTATGTAGTTATTAAATAAAGCAATTAAACAGTATTTCATTTGTTTATTAAAACATTACAATTCCAAAAATATAAATACTCGCCCTATGGCCTTTTGAAAAACGAGATATGAACATTTGCGATCACAGACCCACCATACCAATTAAAGACGTTAGTTTCGAATGGCCCATTCTCCTTTCAAAATATTTCTTAGCAGGTTGTTTAGATATGAAATAGTATTGCATATGTGACGAATTCTTAAATCTGTGTTAATTCGAATAACTTAACATCTATGAATGAATCATTAAAAGCTTTGTGGCCGATCTTAAATTGGAAGGCATATGATCCTTCTTGATAGGTACCAATTTAACAATAGAACATTATTTTTTAAGTTTGTAATGTGATATTTAAATGATAAAAATCGACATGAAAAGACACAAATGTATATTTTTATCACATCAACCGAATTATCACATCAACCGAATTATCACATCAACTGAATTACCACATAAACCGAATGATCACATAAACCGAATTATTACGTAAACCGAATTCTCACGTGTATACTGAAAGACGTCCATTAAACAAATTACCCATTAAATGTTCTTAAACTTATTTTATACGATTAACTTATTAATAAACCCTTATCAGCCATCGCCCTTCTTGAAAGAGGAGTACAAGACCAAATAAACAGCTAGCACATGTGATAATCGTGATGATAGCATATTTTTGAAACCTGAATTTAATAAGGAAAATTATAAGGGATGATGATTCTGAAAACATTGATGCTAGAATAATGAACCTTGTCATGATGTATATATGGGAGTTGATATGACACTTAAAGGATTTATCTTAAATTGAAAGTTTGAAGTAACTCCTATGAAAACTAAAGAAGTTAGAAATAATTCTGAAAATATTCAGGCTAGAATTATAATCTTGACACACATGATAAGGGTGATGATAAGGAACATATATTTGAAGTTTGAAGTAGAAACTATGGAACTTGATTTATTAAAAAGATGATTATAACTAATAAAGGTATGTCCCTACATATGATTCATATACTAGCTAAAATTAATATTGTGATATAGACTATATTTACAAATAATTGAAAAGTTTCACAATTTAAATAGAGAAAAAGTGAGTGTATATTAAAAATGAAAAGCTGCATGTACAGAAAACTTAATCCTTCAACGTTACGAAACATTACATAAGAATACAGAGGGCCAATTAATGATGACAAGATTCTCTACTGGCGGATGTGTAAATGGGAGATATGCAGTTAATAGTGATTTACAAGCTGATTAGCCCTTATTGAAATTCAGCAGGTCTCTGGGGGTAAATGCGTAGGACTGTAAAGGAACAAGCAAAGATAGCACACTCCGGAACAAAGTATCTATCTTAAGGCCTCAACAGACGGTAGGATTTTGTAGTACAACACCAATTAAAAGTAAGATGTACAGACAAATCTTAATGTGTGAAGGCTACTATTTCTTAATTTCGGAAATCTTAAGTCTAGATGTAAGGAATAGAACATGTTTCTATTTTGAAAATATTGTCGTACACATTTTTACAGACCTCCTACAATTACAAGTAACAGATAACCAAATTATCTCCTGATAATGGGTGTAATGAATGAAATTCCAGAAGAATTTGGGCTAAAAGGTAAGCATAGTAGTAAGATGGAGTAAAAATGATGTTGAAAAACTCTTCAGGAGACCCAAAGTTGTGTTATGTTCGAATCCCAAATTATTCCAAAAATGATTATGTCATGGTATTGAATTGTTCTCTAATTAGGGGAGGGGAGGTAGTTTGTAGGCGGCCAAATAGCTTAGTCAGCAGAGCCGCAATATGGTATTCCGAGGGTTACCAGGTTTGAGTCTCGGTCCAGCTTCACATTAAAAAAATATATAAATGGAGGTGTTTCAATCATTACTCATGGCGAAAAAAGTATTTAGTGAGTAAAGTATGTAAATGATCAATGTAAAGGGATCCTATTTAAGGGAAACCTCAAATGATTCTTACAGTGTAGAATTACCGTCTAAATGCAAGTGTTGTAGAGCTTTGAAAATTGTACATCTTATCTTTAATTAGTGCTGTACAACTAAATCCTACCGTCTGTTGAGGGCTTTACCTGTTCGCATTAAATGGTCGTAAACCGGTGAAATTCAGCAATCATTTGACAGGTGTTTGGGACGAATGTTGTAAAAGATACTCATCAATATCATGATAACTTCCACTGTTAAAAAGTACATCCGTGGCATAAATCAAGTTTTCATGACCATGTGAAGAGAATTAAAACCTTAGGGATGAAAATTATCTATCGTTGGTGTCATAAATTTTTCACTTATCTCTTTCTCTCCCTCTATGTAAATAAAGTAAAGTATATAAAAAAAGGAATTTATGGAGAGAAAAAAACTCATTGACATATGGTAATATTTCACTTTCACTGTGTATTTATTACAAAATGTACTTCAGATTATTGTGTTGGTGAGCATGTGTTTTGATTATCAGCTAAATTTTTATGGTGTATTAACATTGTAGTTTTTCTTTAAGCATGAATAAAATATACGTTTTTGTTCCTTGCGAAATCGTATAGTCGATTTTAATCGATTGAGTACCGCACTTAATTAGTTAACTATTAGGCATCTTGCAGTAACATAATTATTCTACCTATGTGGCCAGTGTCTTCAAAGATCCGCCAGCATATTTGTGTCGTCTGATCGTGGTCGGCCTGCGTTGTTTGGTATTTAGTCAATACATATTTTGGAAAAAAAAAAATTTAAGATATTTAACGATGTTAAGGTTACAAATTAAACCTAGATTTTGATATTGATATGAAAACGTGCAATACAAACATGCGAGTGTATATTATATGGCGTAATGATACATTTTTGAGTGCAATACTGAATTATATTGGACGAGTTCACAGCTGTCAAACCTTTATTAGACCTTTAGATGACAAAGAAAACTTCAATAAGACTTAGTTATGAATTCAAATTTTATCAAGTACACAATAAATTAGATGGCACTTAAAAAAGAATCAAAGAAATACATAATTATTCTTTTTGATATCAGGAAACTGAATGTGTTTGTAGTTTATAGCACACTTTTATCCAAATTCAAAATATTATGTCTAACACCGAATTAAAATTATAACAATTATTTTATTCATCTAAAATTATATAATAGATCAAAATCATGGCAAATCCTGCTATGTGGGTAATCATTTTCCATCAAATGTTATCTAAGTAATAGAAAGAGCATCGAAACACGAGGCTATCTGAATTGTACGAGGGGGGCGTAGCCCCCCGAGTATTAATCAGATTGCCGAGTGTTTTGATGTTCTTTCTCTTTTGTATCATATTCAAACATAAAAACACGTTCCCTGTTGTCACAACATGAAACCCTGGCAAAAAGGAACCACGAACGAACATCTAGATATGATTTTTCTGTCGCTTTCCCTTTCTCTGCCGTCACAATATGTAAACCCCAGCAAAAATGAACCAATCAATGGGCATGCTCTGGAGTGCGGGTAACTAATACCTGCATGCCAGTTAACGCACTGTGCATGTATATGTATACGATTTAACTCGGACACGTTTTCAACAGAAAGGCCACCAAAATATGATACAAAGATTTTCTTATATTATTGGTAACCTTTATTTAAATTTCATATGATGAACCGTTATGCTCCTATTTTGCAGTAAGTATAACGCAAACATTTTTTTCCAAGTTTGTAAGCTTCGATGTTTTAATGTCAACATGATAAGAGAGGTATAAAAATTTACAAATGCCGTGTAAATGATACTAAAAAGGTTATAAATTTTATGTTAAGTTAAGGATTGTTGACCTTTTAAACTATTTCAGAACAATTTCAGCAATAACTAACGGAGCAGTGTGTCTTAAATATATTCTGAAAGAAAAACTATAATAAGGATTTTAATCATGGAAGGTTATTTTCTGTATATCGTTAACCGTTTGGAAAAAATTCGACTAACTGATACTCGGTCTTCGTTTCCTTATACTTTAACACATAAGGTTGTGCAAGAATTGAAGTCATGGGACCTTTGGCGAGCTGTACTGGCAGAATTTATTGCCACATTTTTGTTTGTATTTATTGGAACAATGTCAACTGTAAATCTTGTTGAAATGGTTGGTGGTAACTCTACATATATTAGGGTAAGTTGACCTTTTGATTCGTTATTTGTAACCTACTCATGTTCCTTCTTTTAATGTTTGCTTTATTAACTTGTAACTTTTCACTTATCTTTAAATGGTAAATCAAATCTTCATTTACAGGGGCTTAATTATTAGTTTTCATTTGAGTTCCTTCACTTTTGAACAATATTGACATTAAAATATGTTTAATGCAAAAGAACGGCTTATAAGTCAATATCTGGAGAAAAAAGTGATCTTCGTAATCATTAAGTAATAGTTATTATAGTACATGAAACGAGTTAGTTACGAGGATATACACTGGCTGGGGCGACATCAAGGAATGTTTCTGCTAAAAAAAATTGGCGAGGCCGTTAGGCCGAGACAATTTTTTGCAGAAACATCCCGAGATGCCAGTGTTATATCCTCGTAACTAACTCGTTTCATATACTATAACTGTTTTATCGCAATGGCATAATGTTTTCTTTTTTTTGTAATAGAAATAAATAAATAAATAAATTGTTAGCTACATTACAGTTATTTATGATAAGTCAGTTTTTTCAAGTTGTTTTTGCTGCCGCAAAAAAAGATATGCAAAAAACATCCAATGTTAGAGGCGGATTGTAAACTGTTACCAATATTGATTCAAGATGGGCTTTTTTAGTGGTAATAATTCATTCAGCGGATGTACCTTTTGATTAAATGAGAGTAAATTTCATTTCATTAATTATCTTTGTTTATATTTTTCATTGTATTTATTTATTTTATTTTATTTTATTAATTCCATTTTTTTTTGCTACTGGGAATGTTCGTTACCACTGCCCCATTGGAGCCTCTTTGAAAAAAAAAACTACATTGATATATACAAGGTGCGAAAAAAACTCAACCGCTATATAGCAGTCGAGTTTTTTTACTATTGGAATCAATGAAAAAACTGTACTGATATATATTCATACAGTTTTCAAATGCTCATTGAAAGTGTTCTGAGTATAATAAGTTAGTAAGAACAAAGTAAAAGTTCCAAACTATGCGATAAAAAACAGCAAAATTACATGAAAATTGCAAAATCGGATTGATTTAGCCACACATGACGGATAATGAAAAAGTTGAAATCCGATTTGCTGTCTTCATTAAAGCAGAATTGCGTTTATATTCTTTATTTTTAGTATTTGTTATCATAGGTATTTGAACAAAGAAATAGACACTAAAATAACTAAAGATAATTAATGATTTTTCACGAATAACTAGCTGAAACGCAGGACAATAAGGCAAAAGCTTTTCTTTATTACTATTTCGAATATATAAACCATAACTTTTATAATTACTATTATGATTTTGGCGGGTGGTAGTGGTAGCTATAGGCGCCACAAAAAAGAAGAGAATGAAATAATGCGACATATAATGTGTTAAAAAGTAAGTTTTATTAAACAGAATACATGTGTTCAAAGAATATTTCATATTATCAGCCTATTTCTTTGTTATAAGTATGTTGAATTAGCTATAATATTTGCATATAAACATCCAATCACTGTGCATTGTTAATTTTATTATATTGTTACTAGTCTTGTCACAACGAGGTATGTGTACAGGTTGGAATAATCTCTTCTTCTTCTTCTTCTTCTTCTTCTTCTTCTTCTTCTTCTTCTATATGATTGGAGAGAGAGGTATCATTGCATGCAACAATATCTCCTCTTCTATAACACCTGAAAATAAAAACATAATAAATGAAAGTCTGAAGAAATCAGCATAATAACGAAAATAACCATTTTGAAAATATGCCTTGTCATTCTGCAAGTGTTCATTTACGTAATATCGAGGGTAAGAAATATTTTAAATCACCATGGTAACTCAATATTAATATCACTAATATTTCTTTGATTCTTCAAAGCATTTTATAATGAGTCTTGTTATATTCTGTAAAGTGTATTGTATATAATGTCTTTCTCCTTGATCAGATATAACTTAAGGTGAATTATTCTATTAAAATATATTATTTGAAAGTGCAAAGTTATGAAATTAAGAACATGGGTGTTAAATCGATCGTGAAAAGGGATTTATTTAAAAAAGTTAAACTTTTTGAGAATTGCTTGTAAAATAACATTGACCCCATTGAATTGGTTAAATTGATTTTTCTATGAAGTCGAAAATGTTAATTGTAGGCCTATAAAAACATCTACAAGTATAATTCAATAACAAAATGTAAGCAGCCAGATGTGTCTCTGCAATATTTTTGTTCTGTGTCAGAATATCGCTTCTCGTAGAGAGGTGATATTACCTATACTGCAGTACACAAAAACTGCACAATATTTCTATTGAATTTATTTGGACTAAGGCTTTATTTGCTCTTAACTATCATAAATATTTTCATGTAAAATCAGCTCTTTAATATAACTCAACAAGTCTCGCTTTCACAGAAACAAGCAATTTCATATATTAAAACTTTCCAAATTTTTTTACCGAGGTATATTTTCTCGTCATGTACTTACCTCGATCAATTATAAGCCCTATCAATTAAAGCAAATGCTTGCTCTAAGCTTAAACACACATTATCCCTTAAAAAAATTTTTTTTCTTTCTTTGGGAAAGCGCAAACATGTTTTTAATATCTTGAAATAATAGATTAAGAGCATGTAAAATGCTTATCCGCTGATGAAAACAGCATTGAATGTGAAAATATTTCTGATAATGGAAATGAAATGTAAACAAAGTATCAACTTTAACTGTACTTTTCGCAAAAGAAGCAGAAAAAAAGATCAGGTTTATGGCCAATAAGAATTTTTGATTATATATTTATTTATCTATTTATTTTTTTTAATATCAGTATTTTTTTAATCTAAAGACAGTAACAGGACACCAAACCTTAACGGCTTTTGCAAAATATAAATTATAGCATTTCTAGGCTTAATGGACCTTTATTTATCTACTTATATTTTTTTCATTTCATTAATTTTTTTTAAACTAAAAATAGTAACAGGACACGTGCACTTGGGGGCTTTAAAAAAAAAAATCATGGTATTTTTAGGCTTAATGGACTTTTAACAGAAATCCTAATTCATCATGTGTTTCAAACGTTAATTAAATTGTCAACTGTTTAAATTCAAGCAAAACATCTTTTTTTACAACTAAAATTTGCATTTAAACAAAAGGCAAAAAACACAACAAATCTTAAGATAAAACGAGCTGTTCACACATTTTGTAATTTGCATCCTGAACCAATGACGATGGGTTTTCTAGATATATTAAGGCGAATTAATCAAGTAAAGATTAAATCACCCTCATATTGATCAGATAAATGACTAAATGATACCTGTTGGCCGTTCAGTACTCACAATTACATCCGATATACTGATATCAGAGTGATGGTAGTTGAAGTGCATTGTCAATACTATTTTATAGCGCGTAGTAATATAAAGTACTGTAAACTCTTTGATTCTGGTCCCATAAATTCATTATTTGATATTGGTATCAAATAAGAGGCACAGTATAACAAGAGTGGCGTTTCTTTTTGGTTGCAAAGTAAGAAAATCTTTCGAAAATGTAATACAATGGATAGCAAATAATTGATTTGATTTATTTTGTTACAATACGAAAAGAAATGGAAGGATATTTTATTCACATTGCAAATTATATAGAGAGGTTAAGGAGTAGTCATAGTAAGACTGAATTACCTCGAAGCTTTAGTGGTAAAATTATAAAAGAACTAAAATCATGGGAGTTATGGAGATCTGTACTGGCAGAGTTTATTGCCACATTGTTGTTTGTATTTATTGGGACAATGTCGACGCTACCGATTGTTCCAGTAGTCGATGACTGGGCCAAAATTATCAGGGTGAGAAAAGTTTGTAATAAATGTTATCAATATATGTCTAAAGGGAATTGGTCTATATTTGAAGGTTTACAATATCTCTAAATAAAATTATGTTAGTATATATTAGTATATAGTTTCGTATATCATACATGACAAGAAAACTATGAAATAATAATATTTTTTGGATGTTGTTTGTATGTAAAACATGTTTCGATACAACATATATTTACTCGTATATAGCAAAATATTAGTGTTCTAGAAAAAATATTATTATTCATCATATACATGATTACACTAAATAACATAGACCTAGATTTACATTCGTGTTATTATGTTATCAACAATCTGTTACAAACACCAATATTATGGTTTATCATGTAAATAATTTTATATATCTCTAAAGTGTTTGCAATTGCAACTGAAGCATTATAAAAGCTTGCATTGATACATACATATTATTTTGCTTGTACAGTATTTTTGCAATAAAATCACAAAACTAAAAATGCTAAAATAAGACCAGAATTATCTATTCTGATAGGAGTACATTGTCGCAAATAATGACTCACTACACAGGTCAATAAAACTTAGAAATGGTAATATTTTCATATTTTTCAAAAGCCTTTTATTTCATATCCTGTTACAGTGTACGAAATAGCTGAGACATCCTTAGTTGTTCCGCAATTAGTACAATTATAGCGGTTGAGTATTTTGTATAAAGTCAAAATACCATATCGTTTACATTTTGCTACCTCTATTAGAAATTATTTCAAAATTGACTTAAGGTGATATTCAAGTTGACATGTTCTAAATCCAAATTTAAATCATTTATTTATAAAACGCATGTTTAACCTTTCTACATAAAGAAAAAAATCTAAGATTTAGCGTTCTTTTAAACTTCATATATTTTTAGAATGTATCCGGTTTTACAAACCTAAACTACAATGTTCGTGCATAAATATTGTCCTTTCATTTTACGCAATTAAATCTTGAAACATATACTTTTGACCTTCGAAGTGCAACCAGTTTGCCTATTATCAGTCACGTTAAATTTCTGATTTTTTTTCAAGAGCGTTTTTCTTCACGTGGTTTTGCATTTATCAAATGATTTAAATTTTGCACATCCATAAAATAAGCTAATAAAACAATACAATATTTATTATTAAAAGACCTAGCCTCAGAAAAATGGAAATACTTCATTTTTCAAAAGTTTTTTTTAATTTAATATATTATAGCTATTTCTAAATAAAATATACATTGGCCGTAAAGCTGTTTCATCTTTTGCTTCTTAATTAAGTGCTTTGTTATAAGTACAGTTATAGTGATTTATTATTTTGTACGGAAGTCAAATGCCTCTTTTTTACTTTTATCAGAAATTAAATTAAATTCGATGCTGTTTACTTCAGGTAGTCAGACACTAAAATGTTCTAAATAAAAAATTATTAAGTTATGACAAATGTTTTCCCTTTCTACAGAAAGAGAACAATTGTTTCTAAGGTTTTAATGGGGCCTAAACTGTAAAATTTGTTATTAAATTTTAAAATTTCATTTTTTAATAGTTGATTGAAAAAATTTCAAATATTTATATTTTTTTAATGACATTAAAAAACGACTTTTAAAATTTTTTTCCGAAATTTTATTTTGACTATTTTTCAATATTTCATTTTTTATAGAAAATAAAAATTTAAAATATAAAATAATTTCTTTTTTCCCTTTGGGAAAATTTTTGGATAGTAATACAAAATTTTCCCAAAATATTTTTTTTTCCAATGCTGCAAAACCCTTAAATTTTTTCTTTTTTTTTTAAAAGATTAAATTTGGGAGGGATAATTTTTTTGGGGTGTAAATTTTTTTCATTTTTTGTATGTTTAAATTTCGTTTTAAAAATGGTATAAAAATTTTGTGATTTCGAATATTCTTTTTGTCCTTTGGTCGTTTTTGTATTCATATATTTATTTTTGATTATTATTATTCTTGTTGTTGTTCTTCTTCTTCTTCTTTTTGTTTAATATGACCCGACAGTTGTAAAGCCCAGAAAGGTTATATTAAAAATAGATATTTTTGCTTTTAGATTGCGTTCACTTTTGGACTCATGATAGCTGTATGTATCCAAATGTTTGGTCACGTGTCAGGCGGTCACATGAATCCGGCAGTTTCATTGGCTATGGCGGTTGCAATGGAGATTACACCTACACGTGCAATTTTGTACACAATAGCACAATGCTCGGGCGGCACATTGGGATCACTTCTCTTAAAAGGGTAGATATGTTATCAATGCTTTCAAAAATAAACCATATTTCTTTTTCAATAAGTCGATCCGTTGATTTTCGTTCTATACCGTTATAATGTAAAACAATGTTATATTTGATATAAAAACAAATCTAAAATACAACCTAGAATACCAGACTTTTCAAGTGTTTCCATTTTAAATATAACCTACTTAAAGAGTTCGAAACATAAATTTTATTGTGACTTTGATAAAATAACTTGTGCAAATGTAGGACACAGTCCTAGATACGAGTTAAGATATTATAAATCAAGACAAGTTGCATGTTCTTTTTTATTAACCTTGCCGTGAATCTTTTAAATTTTACAATTAATTCCACGACATTAGCTAGATAAATGAATGAATCCTTTTTATATTAATTCCTTTTATTCCTTTTCAGTAATTACAGCGACTGTGCTAATGAATCTATACAGCTAATACTTTCATCGTATAGTATATGTATCATCTCCTTTGCAAATAAACCATACATAAATTATACTACAATTTTCTCGCTTAAAACAAACGTGATATACATGAAATTGCATGCTAAATATGACCATGTCAAAAAAGCGTGCAAAACATACACCATCGGAGAGCTAATATAAAATTCTTATCTTGTAAATGCACGGAAAAGGTTGAAAAAATGAGTACTTGTAATGCACGTGAAGCATGATTACAATGGCACCGTCGGAGAAATATAACAAAGAATATATCAATGTACATGTTTTTACATGGAAACTTAAAATATTCGTAATATTTGCGACAGACCTACCTCTGTGAGAAACAAGCGGATATCGTACTTGAATAAATTATTGTGAATGATGATTAAGAAGCATGTACTGTATTTACAACATTTACATTTTCATGACAAACATAATTGAGCCGCGTCACGACAAAACCAACATAATGCGTTTGCGACCAGCATGGATCCAGACCAGCCTGCGTATCCGCCCAGTCTGAGCACCCGCGCAGTCTGATCAGGATCCATGCTGTTCGCTATCAGTTTCTCTACTTGTTATAGGGTTTGTTAGCGAACAGCATGGATACTGATCAGACTGCGCGGATGAGTAGGCTGGTCTGGATCCATGCTGGTCGCAAACGCATTATGTTGGTTTTGTCGTGACGCGGCTCAAATTATAATTTTTGTTCGTATCAGTACAGTAAATAATGCGTTAAGCATCGGGAATAATGCGTTGATATACCATCAATTTCCTTCCCATTTAGTGCATTATTGAACCATCTCCCATTAGTGCATAATTGAACCATCTCGTAAATTATGGAAACCAAAGCTAAATTAATGGATAAATATGCACTAATTATTCTGAACTCATAAACCTGAAAACGTAAATAGTAAATCAAAAGATATGACACGACCGTTTCAGAAAATGCTGATATGCTGAAATGAAATAGGTGATTCGATTTTAAGCGTTTCATTAATAAAAGGCAGACATTTATTAAAGTGGAAGTAATAAAAACATAAAAATGTGATATTGAAATTGTCTTTGATAAAGTTTTTAAGCGCATTTTAAGCGATTTCTTCTTTTAATATTGTTGAAACATCTCTTGGTGTCTATATAGGTCATTTGGTTCGGTTCTAGATAATGTTAATTGTTTTTTTTCTAAAATGGAAGTATAGTTGTTTTGTTTCTTTTTTTTTCTCTTCGTTTTTTTGTGGGGGCGGGTTGATCGAATTCTAGATAATAAATTCTGCAAAGTCTTCCACTTTACCTTCTTATTTTCTTTATTTATTTTTTTTGTTGTTATTATGTATTTGTTCGACCACATAGGAGAACGATGCATTTGTTGCATTCCTTTTAAAATACTCGTATTAATGTAAATAACAAATTAACAATAACAAAAGTAAGATGTCATCGCCAGGAAAATACTAATACTCGAGATATTTATTAGCCAATGATAACAAAAAGTTGTACAATTTACAAATCCCTTTGTCATTTAAATTTTCACTATGAACAAAATTATAATGATTTTAAATTTTTATACTAACTCTACTACTTTTAATTTTTTTTTTTTTTTTTTAGTCATATAGTCATATATCATAAAATAAGATGAGTTTCATTTAGAAATCAAAACACTACCCTTTATACGGGTTATGGGGCGGATTTAATCTGGATTTATTATTTTATCATAACATTCTTCATCAGCTTAATTACCGTTCATTTCCTACAATCTCCAACTTCGGTATTCTATTTCTGAACAGTCTACTACACGTTAAGTAATTTTTTACCTTTATTTTATGTTCGCCTCAAACAATGATTTGCATTTTTTGTAACCGGATGTTCACTTTTTAAGCCGAATGAGATTTGAACGCAAAAATCGTTCTAGGATTTAAACAACTTAATACTTTAAAATTCATAGTCAAAATGGGTAAGACCCTGCATTATAGTGAACTTTTGGAAATTAGACATCGAGAAAACTGTATAATTCTAAGTCACGTAGGGCATTTGCATTAACAGTAGAAATAACTCAAAGTTGCAAATGGCTTATGGGAAACATTACAGAAAGTGACAGGTAATGACCTAAAATACGACCTAAAGATACATTTTGAATTGTTTACAATCTATTTATAGTCAGTTAATTGCTTGAAATAATATATGTTTTTGTGCAATCAGCAATCAAATTTTCTAAGATAATGTGTTCAACATCCTGTGACAACGTACCTGCGGCCAAAAAAAAAATTAACAACTGTGCATTGCATGTAATTATCTTAACACAATTTTAATACATGTTTCCAGGCAAAATGACTTTTTAAATTTAATTTAAATACGTTGACTTTCAAATTTAAATTTGAAAAGTATTTTCAGTATTTAAATTTAATTAAATAACATTTTACTCGCTTCGTAAATAGTAGCAAGGAGTAGCATAGAAAAATGACATAAACGAAGTCCTAGTAAAGTATGAAATCATAAAATGGTAGTCAAAAAAAAAAACTAATGTGTTACTTAAATTTAAGGGTGACACCAACTGCATTACATGGAAACCTTGGTATAACATCACTGAACAATGAAATCTCAGAAGGTCAAGGACTCGTGTGTGAGATAGTTTTCACATTCATCCTGGTTATGTCCATATTTGGAACAACTGATCCGAATAGAGCACTGTTTGGAAGTCCTGCTCTTGGTATAGGCTTCACTGTCGCAGTTGTTCATCTGGCAGCAGTAAGTATTTTTACTTTGTAAGAGTGAAATAAACTTTAAATTAAGTACATTGTCAAAACTGAATTACAGGAATAAAGATTTGCATTGCCAAAATGATTCTCTCAGACATCAAAAACGTTCCCTTTAAAGATATATATCTAGTGACACAAAAGGTAAAATATAACAAAAAAGAATTGTGTTTAAATCTTCTTTTAAAATAAGTACATTATCAGGATTTATGACAGAAAAAAATAACATAGCACTCGACCCCCTGGGTTTTTCAGTCGCCTGAAATCATTTAATTACAATAAATAATCTATATGTCCCTTTGAACTACATTAGACAAAGATTATGTGCAAGGTACGAAATAAAATGATATATTTTGCAATCATACAATAAAGAATGCTGCATTGTAAAATTGCAGGTTCAGCAACACTTTATCCCTCTGTTTAAAAATGTAATAAAAAGAATACGAGGGGTGTCCCAGAATTACGTGGACTTTTGCTGTAACTCAAAAACTACTGAAAATAAAAACAAACAAAATTAACATGAACAAAATGCAACTTTATTGCATTAGTACAAAATATTTCAAAGTTGTCCGGCAACTGGATCAGTGTCTGTGGGCAGGGTAATGAGACAAGGGGTAGCGGGTGCGGGGCAGTCCATTCCGACGTTACGACGTCATTCCGGTAGCGTCGCTAGTTGTTAATAAATGGGTGGCGTCGAAGGTCAGTTTTTCTCAACATAGTCGCCGCCTAACTCAATACACCTATGGTGTCGATATATCCACTGGTCGTACACCGCCCTGTATAATAATAATAAAGCATATTACTAACTTTTGTTACGATAATAGTGTTTAAGACGACGGTGATAATGCTGACGCCGTATTATTATTATTATTATTATTTATCATTATTATTTTTATTATTATTATTATTTATATTCTTTTTATTATTATTATTATTATTATTATTATTATTATTATTATTGTGGAGTTTATTTTGTACGCAAAGACAATGTGCGTTATCAAGGGAAATAACCTATCATACGCACTGCTTACTATAGCAGTTTGAGTTTACTTTTTTAAAAGCTGAAGCGGATAAATTGCGTTTAAAAAAATAAATTGTGATAAGCTTAATTTTTAAAAATCATTTTTTTTTTAAAACATAAAAATTATTGCTTACCCTTGAATAGTACTCAGCATTGTAACGCCTGTCCCGATCTATGACGTCCTTGACTTCCTTAATTGACGCCGCAGTCAACGTTGACTTTCTCCCACGACCCTTGTCGTCTTCAATGTCCTCCCGGCCGTCTCGTAAACGCTTATGCCACTTGAAAACTTGTGATCGACAAACAAGAGGTCTCACTTTTGCAGTCTCCAACATTTCCTGCGTCTGTGTTGGCGTCTTCCAAGATTAACACAAAACTTGATGATAGTCCGATGTTCCGCGTAATCCGTGGACGTCATTTTTTGTTTAATATCCAAGAGCAACGGTTGTCAGTTGTCCGCTGGTAAACAATAACGGAAACAGCTATGACGTCAAAATTTCAAACGAACGTTCATATGACGTCACTGCATATGCTTACGACGTCGCGCCATTTTTTACGTATAAATACGCAAGATATACGAAAGTAAAGACAACTTATTAATACAAAATATTGGACTGCCCCGCCCTGCGCATACTGCGTCATTATAGCGACGTAAAATATAGAGAAGCAATGTTAGAAATTTAAAAATAATGGACATATTCATTAAGGATATGGTAAAGGTATTGTGTACAAATTTGCTAAAAAATGCATTAAAAAATAAAAAAAGTTATAGCAAAAGTCCACGTTATTCTGGGACACCCCTCGTAGATCTGAGACATTTACTTATATTTGCACACTATTCAAACATATCAATTTTCAGAGTAAGTTGACACTTCTTAACATAAATGGGCGTGACCTTCATGTAATAAATTGTCAGCGATAAAGGAATGTGTAATCAAAGAAGTGGGTAGGAGTACAACAACTCATTTGATTTGATTTTACCTTTAAGTACTTATAAAACCTGCCTTGTCATAAAAACTAATCAAAGAAATCTCATTGATTTCAGATTCCATTCACAGGAGCGAGCATGAATCCAGCGCGTTCATTGGCGTCGTCTGCAGTTTCAACTGGTGACAACACATTCGATAACCATTGGGTAAATCATCATTGTGAGCCGACGTTCACTTATTTATAATACATTTCAATTAAATGTCTTAAGAGAGTTATTTTTTTTAATTTTAATACTGTTCATTTTTTGGTTAGGCATCCCTGCGCATTGCAAGTAAATGGGTCAGATGCTCGTCATGTAGAAATATCTGAAAACAACTTGTAAGCAAGTCAATCAATTTGAAATCCATTTGTATAATGTAATGTTTATCAAAGCGTGTACTTAATTCTTTGACGAATAAAAGAAAAGGCGTAAAGAAAATATCCTTTGAAATATTTTACATCTTACATCATAACTTGTGCTTGAGTAGTAAAGTGATAAGGCCGTACGTTTTTAATGGAACATTAATTTTAATGATATTAAAAAAAATCTTTAAAATTGCGCCATTTTTTCTAAAATTACTTGTTTTCTATTTATTTTAGAGGTATTTTAGTATTTATTTTCAAATATCATACATGAGGTTAAATTAAGTTTAGCAAAATTTGAAGATTAATGTAGTCACATATTTTTCAGATATAAAGAAGCATTTAATTCAATTTTAGGTATATTGGGTCGGACCAATCCTCGGAGGAGCAATAGCAGCTATTGTATACAAATATCTATTTAGCCCATATAGAGGGAAAATGACTGTTGCTGAGGCTTCGACCAAAATGAGTAAGATACAAATCAACAGTTTTTATAAATCAAAGTTGACAGTCGCCTTTAACTCAAAATTATGGGCTTAATTTGGCTGATGCTTGTTTGAAAAAAGAATATACCTCTCGGGTTTATATCGGGGCTGATTTGCAACCATTGGCAATCGACTAAGTTGTATGTTTTTAATATTTATGTCAATGAGTATACAAAAAATAATGTTAGTAGAGCTCTAGTATTAAGTAATATATTATCACTTGCCCCTCACCGTATTGGGCACAAATCCCGACATAGACTTTAGATTTTATCAGGTAATGAAGCAATTTTTATAAAGGTAATGGAAGATCGGTGGTTCTAGTCAGAAGCCCACTAAAGCTGAAATATAGCACAGAGGAGTACTCTATGTCTTCCTTCACCAGTAAAGCTGAAAATGCTATTCATTGAGAATCTGACTTTCAAGTGCAAAAACAGAAAAATAATATATATTCAAATTACGATTGCTAGTGTGTATCATATTTTATGAGTATAAAACTTAATAAGAAAAAATGTGCAAAACTGTTTTTAAAAATTTGACCTACAACATTTATTTAATGTCTTTCTGAAATCTTTAACAAGTTTGTTTTATCTCTTCCGTGCGTATTGTAAACTCATTAAATGTATTGCAATGTTTGTACACGTGTTTGGTACTGCGTACACTATTTACACCAAAATCGTCATTGTAGATATAAGAAAATATTCTTTTATTTCACAGTGGAATCAAGTGACATGATCGTTATTCCAAGGTCGTACTTTAAAGGTCATCAAAGTTCAGGGAATGAAGAGAAAATGCACCAATCCCATCATTTGTAAAGCAGCAGCAATCGGCAATCACTTATGGACAATACTATTGCTATGGTGGTGAAAACTTTAAAGAGAAACATCATAAATTTCTCGCCAAATATTCTATGCAATTTATCACTAAATAGCTTTATTAGTGTTTTGGGTTGGTTTTTTGGGGTGTTTTAATAAGCAGCAGAGGGATGTCGATAATAGAATTGTTCATCTTTTTAGTATGTTAAACAGATATGTGAAATAATGATGTGATTTGATTACACTTATTCATAACACACGATTGTTTTGATAAAAAATATATAAACATGATTATACATGTAATAATGTGTGAATTTCGATAAGTTATATGGCGCGCTTTTCAAAATTAATGAACCCCATCATTACAAACTTTGTCATTTTTTTGACATTGGAATGTGTGATTTTTAGTACAAATATCATGCATTAAAAGTACTATTATCACGTATTTAAAGTACTTAGTCCGAACCTGTGGAAAGACGGGCTTAATTTGATTAAAATTGAAATGTTTCATTCCAATAGAAATTAGTTTTCATTCCTTTAAAAAAAATTATCAATTTATATCGATTTAAATTTTCAAAAATTCAATTGTAATAGAATCATTTTCATCACAATTATGTAGCCAAATATTCATGTGTTCATGTGTGTCACATGTATTCACATGTATCGTTGTAATATGAAATAAATTTGTATTAAATTGTATTCGATGAAATGTAAAAACAGCTTTGATGTTGTTTTGATATTTTAAATAACAACTAGAAAGCAACATAGATAATCAATAACAAAACTAACAGAAGTGGTTTGTTTAATGCTTTGCAATTTATTGTTCTGCATGTACGTGCAAAATGTACAATTTACCAAATCGTTTTAATGCCATAATTTCAAATTTAAATGATATGATAAGGTGTTTTAATTGTTTCAAAACCTTTTGCGACAATTAATAGACAGACGTGTCACAAAAACAACATTTTTGAATAACATGACTGACTATTGTCATATTTTATAGTTTATCATTTTAACATACTGGGTATGAGTGTTAAATGTTTTAGTTCTAACCCGAAGCTGACCTTTATATGACATTTCAAAAACTTCGACAAGGCTTTAAAGTCTGTTGTCCTAAACCTGAAAGTTTACTTGTCTGCATTTTGAAAAATATTGGAACCATGACTTTGTTTTGACTGTGTACATTTTTTTATTCAGTATAAAATAAATATGGTCAAAAAATAATGAAAATTGGTAAATCAATACTCCAAGAGCTATGTAAACAAAGCAACTACACGAAGAAGACACGGTTTTATTGGGTCTGGCAATAACAGATAATATAATGCACGCCGACTTAAGCGGTATTTAATCCTCAAAATAATCTTTCACGCCCCCAGCACCGACTTTAGTGGTATTTAATTCTCAACATCACCTTTCACATCCCCTAGCACGGACTTTAGCGTTATTAGATCCTCAACATCATCTTTCATGCCCTCTAGCACCGACCTCACCTGTGTTTTATCTTCAACATCATTTCGCAAGCCTAATAGAACCGACCTCAGCAGTGTTTATACCTCAACACCACCTTTCACGCCGTACTAGAAAATACTATGATATTGGCTTTTGAAAAAAAAACGACTTTTGAGTTCTGAATATTCGCAGCGTAGTGGATACAATAAGCCTATTAAAAAGTACATAGTGGTCTTATCAAAGTCAATCTCAACACGAAGCCAGTAAGACATAAATCTGAATATCTAGATATAACACAGCGAGCAAAGAGAGAGAGAGAGAGAGAGAGAGAGAGAGAGAGACAGAGAGAGGGAGAGAGAGAGAGGGAGAGAGGGCTCTTGTAATTCCGTAATTATGGGGACATTTGTTTGAATTTTGACCTCGTTATGGGGACCACCTGGAATGGTGGGGACGAAAGGTCGGTCCTCACAGTTACGGTTGCTGGTTTTCTTACAAATGTTCTGAAATGCATTTATTTTCTATTTTTAACTTTGTCCCCACAATGATGTGAGACAGGTGTGCTCTCTCATTTTGAAGTCATAACAAGCATGTTCCGACAGCGCAATGTCCCCGCAATACAATTTAGAGATAGAGAGTGAGAAAGTCCCGATAACGTCTGAGGACATATGAGAGGAAAATTTGAGAGAGACCCACAATGTCTTCCAAAGGCTCTTAAATATGTTTATGAATTATAAAAAAAAAATCATCACATAAACCGCGTCGCAAGACTGTAAATAATTAAACCATTTTATAGAAACGATATTACACTAGTGTAATAACACTTTGACTAGGTGTCATTTGTGTAATATACAAACATAACGTAAAAGTGCGCCAATGTTAGCGTTACACTATAATTATGCGTATCGATGAAAAACGACACTTTATAACAGTTTACAGTTCTTATTTCAGATATGTTATAAATAGAATATTATATACGTGTAGATTCAGTACTTAATTTATTGAACTCGTTGAATAAAACAATATTATCACACACCCGTGCCGATTTTGCGACTCCGTAAATATGGTATTGCACGGCCGTGCATATATTTTGACGTGACGTCATTAGCGTTATACAAACATAGTGTAAAGACGCGCTAAATGTTAGCGTTATACTATAGGCGCGTCAATGAAATATAACTGTTATTTCACCTTAAACGGTCTTTATTTTTGGTATGTGATAAATAGAATATTAAATTCGTGTAAGTTCATTACTGAATTTATTGTACTCGTTGAATAAAATAATATTATGCTCGCCAGAGTCTCGCATAATATAATTTTATTCATCTCGTGCAATAAATTCAGTATTGAACTTACACTCATTCAATATCCTCTATTTATGCTCGCCACAGGCTCGCATAATATGATTCAATAATTTAGTATTATCCTCACCAACGCCTTTTATCATTGTTCTTTAATTATAATACATATTTTACGTTTCCAGTTTATTAAAATAAACCAAAGTCTCTGTCTAAGCACTAAAAAATATGAATAATTCAATTCAGCAGAATTATCCCTCATCAATCATTATATAGAGGATATTTGTTAGTTTTGAGGGAATATACTATATATCACACTGAGAAGTGAGAAAATTGCAATATTTTTCAAGAGAGCGTAGCGCGAGTGAAAATATGAACATTTTCTCACTTCGATGTGTGATATATAGCATATTCATGAAAAAAAAACTTACAAATTTTCTTTTTATTGAATGCCTAAAAGGTCAAGAAAACGGAAGTTTTTAACTGTTTTCAAAGACGCGCGGGAAACACACGCACGTAAATAAGATGACGTCAGACGTTCAACAACTGCAAAATTTTAATGACACGCAAGTTTTAATTCCTTGACATGGACGTGCAATCGTCTATAACATACACTAAAATCTTTAAGATGCGATTGAAATTATCTATTACAAAAATGAAAAGGTACATTTATCACGTAATTAATTCGAGAAATAACATGAACCGACCAATTGCCGAATTACTTTGTGTATAGGAAACACATAGATTGTAAATAATCACTTCTTGGTCAATGTATTATATATAAAAGTTTATAAATAATATCCTCTGAGTCACATAATGATTAAAAGAATAGTCTGCATATCTCGTGCCCGCACGTTACGGTCGTTACCAGAAAGCTATGTCTCATGAATACATCCACATTGTCCAAGTATAGGTTAGAGTGCATATTGGGTGTTCTTCGTAAATAAGAAAGCTAAAAAGGTGCGGAGCTTGCGAATCGACTGTAGCTTTCTTATTTACGAAGAACATTCACTCTAACCGGCTTAGTGCTCCGCCCACTTGCGTTTTATAATATAAAACGTCCAGTTTTTATATAAAATCTGTTCTATTAGGATTTGAAAACCTGAAAATTTGAAAAATCCTCGTCGGTGATTGGTTTAAAAAAATTGGCGAGCACTAAGTTCCTTTACAATAAAACCCAGAACGTTTTTTTGTCTTTACAAAACGCGAAGACTTCTGTAGATTTGTCGCATTGATATCGAAACATCGTGTGCATTTAACATAACATATCTTATTTGACAAATTAACGTCCTTATCGCATGGTTTGGAACTTTTCCTTTGTTCTTACTAACCCCATTATACTCAGTACACTTCAATGAGCATTTGAAAACTGTATTGATATATAGCAGTACAGTTTTTTCATTGAGTCATATAGGAAAAAACTCGACTGTTATATATCGGTTGAGGTTTTTTTTTCGCACCTTGTATATATCAATACAGGTTTTTTTTTCATAGAGGCTCCAATGGGGGCAGTGGTAACGACCTTTCCCAGTAGCAAAGTAAATAAATAAAAAAATGGAATCAATAAAATCAAATCAAATATATAAAATACAATGAAAAATATTAACAAAGATAATTAATGAAATGAAATTTACTCTCATTTAATCAAAAGGTACATCCGCTGAATGAATTATTTACACTGAAAAAAATTCTATTAATCTTGAATTAATCTTGGTAAGAGTGTATGTTAATCCGCCTCTAACATTTTTTTGTATATTTTTTGCGGCAGCGAAAACAACTTGAAAAAACTGCCTTATCATAAATAACTGTGATGTAGCTAACGATTTATTTATTTATTTACTTATTTATTTATTTATTTATTCATTTTTTTTTTTTTTTGTATATTTTTTGCGGCAGCGAAAACAACTTGAAAAAAATGCCTTATCATAAATAACTGTGATGTAGCTAACGATTTATTTATTTATTTATTTCTGTTACAAAAAAGAAAACATTATGCCATTGCGATAAAACAGTTATAGTATATGAAACTCGTTAGTTACGAGGATATAACACTGGCTGGCTGACATCTCGGGATGTTTCTGCAAAAAAACTGTCTCGGTCTTACGGCCTCGCCATTTTTTAGCAGAAACATCCCTTGATGTCGCCCCAGCCAGTGTTATATCCTCGTAACTAACGAGTTTCATCTACTATAACTATTACTTCAAGGTGTTATTGTTTAACAGACTGTTGTTGATATACACATGTATAACTCCCTGCAAACCCCTGCCATTCGATAACATGCTCATTGGAAATTACTATAAATATTTTACAACTCGCGTGTGAAAAGATGTTACGACCATGTTTCTTCATGTGACACCAGTACTGGTTGGTTCCAGGAAGCGGACTCGAAAGTGATTAATATAAGTTGCAAGATATTCTGTAGCATTGCAAGATTCATAATTGTAGTCAGAAAATATAAGCCATGCCTTTAAATTGATAGGGATTGTAAACATACCCCCCCCCCCCCCCCCCCTGGTGAAATCATGGACTGTTTAAAATCTAACGTGTACCGGGTGACATGTATATAGATCACACGTTTTGATGTTTCCTGTATTTGCTCCAGTCATAAAGAATTAACATGATTTTCCAATTGTATTTTTTTTTGCGATAGTACGCACGAATCTCCAGAAGTATGTCCACCCTTACCTCCTTAATTTGGTTTGTTACTTGCTGTCATGATAACTGTTTGCTAACAATTCTTCCTTGCATTTATCTTCAAAGTTGCAATCTCAATCACGGTATAGATAGTATGACATATTTCTTTGTAAATGTTAATCATTTGTGGATATGTCTTCTTAAGTTTCGTCCATATTTTTTGTGTGGGGTGGGGGGGGGGGGCATAAAGGGATCAAAATATTACAAATACTACACGACGTTTGCTAAGGAACACATTTTGGACATTACAAGGCTCG